CATCGCGAATATTTGATGAAAGAGTGATCTCGTTGCAATCCTTTGGATGTATAATATACTGCGTCACGGCCGTCACCGTAGAGTGTGTTTGGAGAGAGAGAGAGAGCAGCTGGCAATTACTTCTTATTTGTTTTGAAAATAATATATAATTTCTCTGTAATTATATGTAACAGAGGGGTCCACCCGTCCAAGGGAATCATCTTTATCGGATAATTAGGTAATTTCGACATTTCTAAGATTTTTATCTTACAATTAAAATAAATGATGTTGGATCGATTTGGATCTCAAAATTCTATTATATAAAACAAGTAAAAATATCAAAATGAAATTTTACACATTTAATGAAATTTCAAATTTAATTAAATTTAGGAGAAAATATCATGATATTACAAGTTAGTATTGAATTCAATCTTTTAAGCTTGAAATAGATTTGTCTTTAATAGTCGATTTTCACCCGCTTGATTCCCGAAACAATAAGTAACTTTATATGTAATTTTTGTACAATAAAGAAGAAAAACAAGATAAAATCTTGTTAATTGTACTGTTTAATCATATCCAGTGCGATCCACCCAACGATGCTATAGTCGGAGATATTCCATCAGAATTTGGAATGTCCTATTATGCTGGCAATTCCCCTTCGCCTTTAATGGTACAGACACCCCTACGCTACTTTGAATATCGTTTGGATGCAATGGGAGCGACACCACTTCGTTATTCGAGAAATCTCTCAAATGCAATCCCAAGGATACATCATCGTTACTTGGGAAATCTAGCGACTACAATGTATTCGGTTCTTCACCATTACTCGATAGATCATTTGACATTATGGTTGCAGATGCTTCACTACCAGAAAAGTCCTTCCATTGTTGAGTTACTGTTTTCCTCTGGGTGTAAAATTGAACTCCAACTTTACCTGCACATCAAAAGAACATCGTTTACAATTTAGAAACAGAATTTCTTAAGAGAGCCGACAGTAGCTCGTGCATTTCTTTATAATGAAGAAGTTATACCGTAGAAATTGGTATCTCCGGTGAATGATGCCTTGGACCCTGTAAATGAGAATAATTGCAATGATGTTGGAATAGCCCTATTGATGCCAATCTGAGTCCATTCGAAAGTTCATGTTAAAACTCAAAGTCAGGATTGAAAAATAAATTATTATTCTAATCTCTAGTGGACCTCTTAGTAGGATCCGAACCTAGTTGAAGTTCTGATCATCGGTCAAAGAAAAAAGAACAAACAAATATGGTGAAAATGCACTTACCTGCCCAGACTCGATCACATTCTGAAATTTCCTTGTAGCTGCACGGGAGGATGTAAATATGGAAGCTCCATTGCCATGTCTAATCCAAGAAAATAGAACAATTTAAATAAAACTTGAAAAAACGCAAGATTCAACCCAACTACACCTAGAAGGGGGTGATTAGGTATAAATGCGGAAATTAAAACTTTAATCAACAAGTCACAAGTTAATTATGTTTAGGTAATTAGTCAAACAATTCAATTAGTCCTATCTTGGAATACCACAGTAATATCAAAACAGTAAGAATAGCAGCAAACAACACCAGAATTGTT